TTATGGACTTTCTGCTGACACCAGGACTGAAAAGATGATGTTTTATGGATTTGTTTATAGAAAAGAGATGGGATATGGGATGAAGAGATAAATGTTTGCAACTTTGGAGGAGGTGAAGGGTCACTAAATTTGTTTATACGTTTTGTGATGAAGGTTGGAAATAACTTCTTTATATATTTCTTTTCTCTTTATTATATTCTCACTTTTCTCTTTCTTCTCTCTCTTTTCTTGCACTTTTTACTCCTTTCTATTCTCTTTTCTTTCTTAAGTTTGTATTAGATTTTACTATTATAATAAAAACTCTTAATAAAAATTATATATACACAAGATTAGGGTGCTCCAGGTGCTGAGGAGCCCTCCACTTTCCTGGATATGGTGGTGCTGCCATGCTCCTCCTCTGCCTGTCAGAGGCCTCCTCAACCAATGTGGGTGCCAAATGGTGGGCAGGCCACCCAGGCTGTGGCATGGGACCCCTGCACTTTGTAAGCACAAGTGACTCATGAGTAAGCAGCATGCCCTTCCCAGGGCAGGCAAGCTGGCCATCTCATCATCAGTGCCAGCTGTTCAAAAGGAGCTATAGCAGGGGTTTGAAACAATGCCACTGTTGTGTCTCCATTGCTGGAAGCAACTTTGACATAGGGCCTTGCACTCTGTGCTCTATGTCTCTGACTCTATCTCTGGCTCTGCTTGTGACCTTGGCTTGCTGACCACATCTCCACCTTTCTCCTTGACATTTCAAGGCTTGTTATAGTCTCCGACCATGAATCATTCAACCTTGCTTTATGTCTCTTTATGTCTCTTTCTTGGCCCTTAGCAAACTTGGCATGCAAGTGCACACCCCACACCCTCCGTCACAGTAACTTTGTTCCTGGTTCCTCACCTCATGCTCTTCGCCTGCATGCAACCTTCCTCTTCATCTCTGATGTTCCTCTCCTTCCAGCCATCCTCAAACCCTGGCACACTCTTGAAGTGTGCTTGGCTGTGGCTCCTCAGAGAGCTGTGCGCACAGATACATGGAGATGTGCATCATCCCTCTCATCCTGCCTGCCAAG